AACTCTACACCCCTTTAAAGGTTTGGTCACCTAATATGTAGCCACAGGTTTACTCAAGAGTGCGGGAGAATCTAACTGTTTGATAAATAGCTACCGCTTTTCACTGGTGTTCCTCCTGGAGCCTTTCCCCAGGCACCGCCACTGAGTTTGATGGTCCGCACAGCCTCTCCCTAGTGTATAGAGTGGTATGCCATCAAGGCATAACAATTTCCGCACCATCTAAGTCACTATCCATGGAGATATAGAGATGCACCGCAAATGTGACACCAAAACACAAAGATGTTGCTACACCACATGAACCATACATAATATCTTCCTGCAAATATTCGCTGGTACCTCTCCAGGTATGCCCCATCAATCATACATCTTCTCCCAGGTATCCCATGATGAAGAATTATGGAGGCAGCAGCACGCATAGTGCACCCTACACAACTCACCTGTATTGGTTGAATGCTGTAGCTACTGGTAAAGCTCGTATAAACGACCCTTGTCATTAGGCAGCAGAGCTGCAGGGTTTATATACACTGTGGCCCATAGGCTGACTAAGCTACGTGGAATATCTATAGTCCTATTGAGCTCCACCTATGATGTCACTGACCCACATGAGCTCTGTGCCTTTGTACAATAGTGGAATATACCAGAATATTCCAGAGGGTTCCGGTACGTTCTGGTACGTTGTAGAACCTGGCAGCTAAGTCAGCACCTAGTTCAACACTCCCCCTCGCTAAGTGCCGCAGATAATCGTGCACGCAAGCATTGGGCTGACTTAGATTACTTGTAGAACCTAAGTCCAAGTTGCGCTGTGAAGCGCAGGAACTTGACATGTCCTAAGTTCTTAGTGAACATGTCTGCAGGGTTATTCTTGCCGTCGATGTAGAATACTTCAACTTTCTTCTGCTTGATGACTTCCCTGATGTAATGATAGCGAATGTCAATATGTTTAGACCTTCGCTCAGTGACAGGATTAGATGCAAGGAATATAGATCCTTGGTTGTCACCACAAATAGGAATGGGGCTGAGTTGGTAGCCTAACTCATCAAAGAGTTGTCTAACCCATACACATTGGCGGCTACAATCACTGAGCACCATGTACTCGGCTTCAGTGGAGGATAGCGCAACAGTTTTCTGCGCTCTCGACTGCCAACTGAATATGCCATTGGCTAATTTTAGCAAGTAACTGGTTTGGGACTTCCTGGTACTGGGATCAGATGCCCAGTCCGAATCAGTGCACGCAGTAATACCAAGTCCACTAGCACCATCAAAGGCTAGCGTGTAATTACGAGTCCCGATTAGATAGCGGCAGATATACAGTGCTTTATCTAAATGGGCTTGAGATGGATTAGCAGCAAATTGCGCTAACTTGGTAACTGCATAGCTGATATCCGGTCGAGTTCCAAGCATAATATAGAGTAAGGAACTGATCACAGTTTGGAATCGGCTATGAAGAGTAGGATTGACCGGGCCATTGTGAGGCTCAGGTTGATAACCTGCAGGGAGAGGAGTTGGCGCAGATTTTGCATTCTGCATGCCACACTGCTGCAGCACTTTATCAAGGTAGGCGATCTGATCAAGATGAATCTCTCGGCCTTGCCTTGTAATGTGCATGCATAGGAATTCCTTGACATCGCCAAGGTCCCTGCATTCCCACTTCTTCATGAATCGTGACTTAACATCTGTCACGAGAGACTTGTCCTTGCCAAAGAACAAGGCATCGTCAACGTAGACGACAATAATTACCATGCGGCCATCCTTCTCCTTAAATAAGAAGATGCCAGCATCAGTAGTTAGACGTTTGCAGCCTAATTTCTCTAAAGACTCAGCAAGTGTGTGCCACCAGGCAAGCCCCACTTGCTTAAGTCCGTAGAGTGCACGGCACAGTCTACAAACCTTGTGCTCCTGGCCTTTTATGGCGAAGCCTTCAGGTTGTTCCATATAAATTTCCTCATCCAGTTTGCCATAGAGATAGGCATTGCACACATCGAGTCCAGAGATGTGCCAATCCTCAAGCGCTGCTAGCACGAGCATAAGGTGCACTGTCTCAAAGCACACAACTGGTGAGAATATTTGGTCGAAGTCTATACCTTCAACCTGTGAGAAGCCTTTAGCGACTAATCTCGCTTTGCGACATCCATCTGATTTGACATCAAATACCCAGCGACATTTTATGACTTTACGCCCTTTAGGGCGGTCAACCAAGTCGAAGACTCTGCACTGACGAAGTGCATCCAATTCTTTGTGGCAAGCAGCTCTCCATTCC